TTTTCCGATTGTATTGTATTCACTGATTGTTCATAGGGTCGACTTCCTGTCCGGTGGATGGCTATAGAGTCAATAAATTACAGTGTATACACAACAAAAAGTGATGTGTAAGTATTATTATTAGATTGCTCTAATTTTCTTTAGAAGAAAAAGACAAATACAAAAATCTAATGAAAACGTTAGGATATTATCAACAACAAAGTGGTTGTATTTTTTTAGATCCATAAACGCAGTGGAGTCTTGTGTTTGAGTACACACATCATGCACATTTCAAAATACGTTGCTACGAGTCTTTTTCTGGTGTAATTCTAATACAAAAAATATGTAATGTATTTGAACAATATGATTGCTGATAATTGTTGTATTTAAAAAAATTTCTTGCAGCTGGTCGTTTGGAATTCTTTTATGGGAAATTGTAACACTTGGTAAGTATTATTACAACCATGAGTACCGGAAATAATGTAGGCTTTTATAAGAATATATAACAATAATATGATGATGATGATGATGATGATGATGATGATGATGATGATGATGATGATGATTATGATGATAATGATGAGGAGGATGATGATTTTTGATGGATGACGATGACGATTCATCACAGTCGTCATCATCAACATCATCATTTTTTTATTCACTATAATAGTATTGATGATAAAAATATTGACAGAATTAGTATAAAAATAATAAATATAATATCAAAAACAAAGAAGCGAAAGTTAATTTAGTCGTGATCATTCTACAGGTGGTACACCTTATCCTGGTATGACATGCGCAGAACTGTACGATAAATTACCGACCGGATACAGGATGCAAAAACCACTAAATTGTGAAAATGAGATGTAAGTAATAGGGTACCGTTATAGATTTTCTTTTTAAAGATTTCATCTACGCTAGAGTTCAAGGCAAGATGCACGTGATGTGGTCTTGCGTTCACTGACATCAAATTGCGATTATTGGCTTCCTGCCAATAACAGTTTTCTAATAATTGATTGATGATTTTAACTTAATGTGGACCGTCTCACAGTTGTACCCACTGAATGATGTCTAATTGACAGGCGCACCCACTGAATGATGTCTAATTGACAGGCGCACGTGCGGCTAACTGCTTGACTGAATGACGTATGACTGCATCTGACTGACCGAGTGACGTGCTGACTGACTCTGTGTTCGTCGATGAATTGACTGACTGACTGGCTGAATCTGACTGAGTGACGTGCTGATAGATTGACTCACTGACTCAATGTGTGTTACTATGATTATTTGACTGATTGACTGAATGACGTGTTGACTGTGACTGACTCTGTGGGGTATTGCTAAACCCTGCAAACCCCGCAAACCCCGCAAACCTCCAAAAAATCACCGCAAACCCCATCCAAACCCTGTGATGACGATTGAATCACATAGTATAGGACTCAATTTGGTATCTCAATAAAAAAATCTTAATTTTATGTTCGTCACAACCTATTTTTGGGGTAAAAAGGCCATTTTTTTTAAATATAAAAAATTGCTAAACCCCGCAAACCCCCCAAAACACAGTGCAAATCCCATCCAAACCCTGTTATAGTCATTGAATCATGTAGTATAGGACTCAATTTGGTATCTCAGTAAAAAAGAAATTATAATGTTCCGTTCGTAACAACCTACTTTTTAGGTAAAAATGCCATTTTTTTGTATAAAACATTGCTAAACCCCGCAAACCTCTAAAAACACAGTGCAAACCCCATCCAAACCCTGTGATAATGATTGAATCACATAGTATAGGACTCAACTTGGTATCTCAATAAAAGAAATCATAATAATAAAAATACCTAAAAAATAATGGCCTTTTTACTCCAAAAATAGGTTGTTACGAACATAAAATTATGATTTTTTTGACTGAGATACCAAGCGAGTCCTATACTACATGATTCAATCACTATCACAGGGTTTGGATGGAGCTTGCACTGTGATTTTGTAGGTTTGCAGGGTTTAGCAATTTTTTGGCCGTTTTTTTGGAGTTTTTTTTTAGGTCTTTTTAACAAAAATCAAGATTTAACCCCCAAATTTTTGTATACAACAAATGGCCTTTTTACCCTAAAAAGTAGGTTGGTACGAATGGTACATCAATCACATGGTTTGGATGTGGTTTGCACTGTGTTTTTGGGGGTTTGCAAGGTTTAGCAATTTTTTTATACAAAAAATGGCCTTTTTACCCCAAAAATAGGTTATGACGAACATAAAATTAAGAATTTTTTTTATTGAGATAACAATTCAATTAATTATTCAATGAAATTAAATATTCAATTATAATCACAGGGTTTGGATGGGGTTTGCGGTGTTTTGTGGAGGTTTGCGGGGTATGCGGGGTTTAGCAATACCCACTCTGTGTTAGTCTAATTACTTGACCGCCTGTACTGACTGACTGACTGATTAGCTGACCGACTAACTAACTAACTGAGTAACTAACTGACTGACTGATTAGTTGACCGAATGACTAAACTGACAGACAAACAGAAAGACATTTGATTGATTGTCTTATTTTATTGATTGATTTGACCTATATTAGTTTGTTAAATATTTTACAGCTCGATTCCACAAAAATGTTCATATATATTCTTTATTTGGAAACACTTATACAACAGTGGTACTCGTACCGGTACGTAACGGTGCGTCCAAAGAAAAAAAAAACACCAAAAAAATCGAAGCTTAACACATTAAGCAAATGAAAAAAAGAATTTAACAGAGAAAACTAACCGACTTACATATGTTTGAAAACTCCCTGCCTTCACCCTTCAACCCTTGCATTGAGACTCAAACCCCATCACTAATTTTTAGACTGCATCCCACGACCCACCCTGAACCCCAACCTAATTTTTTTGAAATTTAATATGAACAAAAGGAGAAAATTTAAAACGAAACAAATAACCAGATTGAGAAAAAAAAAGCCTGGAACCCGCCATCAAAATCAACCCAGTGAAGCACTGGACCTCTTTATTTTAACCGCCCTCCCACCCCAGGGGCGGATTTAGAGGGGGGCTAAACAGCCTTTAGCCCACCCCAACCTATACCCCAAGCTAAACAAAATTTACATCATTCACATACAGAATTTAATATAAATAGAAATTAACAGTTACTTATTCTAAAATAACAACAACAATGTAAGGAAAGTACAACGCAGACCCTTAAAAAAGCACAACAACAACAAATTTACAGATATTTTCATACTATACATTTTAACCACAATCTGAATGCAACTAAATTTACTTTAAAAAAAAGTTGTTTGAGGATAAAATATTGATATTCTTCTTTAACAGTTATGAAATAATGCAGCATTGCTGGCGAGATAGGCCACACGAAAGACCAACGTTCGGCCAACTCTATATCGCCCTCAATAGACTACTACAAGCACAGACGGTAACATTTTTTGATATTATATTTGCTTGTATTTTGAATGAACTTGACTTATTGAATAGAATATTTAACTAAGGTAACTAATTTCAAACAAGTATTATTATTATATATGCAATAAATAATTGATTATTAGTAATAACACAGTGCTGCTGCTGTCTCTTATACACATCTAGATGTGTATAAGAGAACATATATATATAGTATCATGTAAAGAAGTGTGTATATATATTATTACTTGTTAATAAATTTCTCGTGAAAAGTTGCAACGATCTTTATATAATGAGGCACTTCATAGATTACTTCAATTATCTAAAGTCTTCATCTTCTTGAATGTTGAATTTGAATTTATTGCAATCGTAAAAAATACAGATTAAAATTTTAAAAAATAGCCTAGAACTTACAAAATGTTAATTTAATGAGATTCCTTATATTTTATAATTTTTCAGCCATATGTTAACGTCGAGATGCATCCGGGGTTCTCTTATGCGGATATAGCGTCGGACGAGGATACAGTCCCGGGTTCACTTATGTCGAAGGATTATTCAAAATGCTGAAATTAAAGTAGGACAAACTGGGTGGTGTGTGATTAGTATTAGAGCCTACAGTAAGGACATTCTATTTCACTTGGCATGGTGCCCTATATTTTTGTATACAAGTTATGTCAAATGGTGTAAATTTTATGTTTAAGACAAATTTGTAACATTAATTCTAAATATTATTTCTAAAATATTTTTCTAGAATATCGATATAGAAATTCTAACTACAGATCCGTAATTATAATATTTGAAAACAACATGAACATTCCAATTTAACGATTATACAGAATATTTGATCTATTCCTGTAAGTATTATAGACGTAAGGGTATTTAACATTTTGTTTAGTATTATACTGTAGTGATAAGATACTAACTCGATTTGTAAGAGGGGTTTTTCGAAATGGGGTAGAAAAACCATGGGACCCCCTTCCCTCCAGTACTGGGCTGCGTCGTATTAGTCGGGACTCAAAAAATGACCCTAGTAAAAGCACCGATGTATGGGTAAAACAGTATATTGGTCACACACCCACGCACACACCTCTTATACACATCT